TGGTAATTGAAAAAGGCTTTGTTGTTGGTAAAAATTTTGTCTGGTGTCGATTGTGTATTGTGATTTCTCCAGGTTGGAAAGTTAGGACCCAGATGATTGATTTTCCCTAAATTTATTAATTGATTAAGGGCGTTTCCACGACGTTATTATTTGTATTGTCAAAAATCCTATGTCTGGCGTTAAAGTCTCCTAAGATGTACATCGGATGACTATTGTTAGCCAATTTTAATAGGTCTTCTATAGGTAAGTAGTAGCAATAATTACGTCTCCTTGAGTTGTATTTATTTTTATTGCTAGAAATTCATCCTGGAAGTCATCAATTAGTTTAAATTTTAAGTTTCTTTTAACCGCTATCGCTTCTCCGTCATTTTTCTCGCCCGATTTATTTCTTTGGTTTACATAATAGTTAAAGAGTTTTATGTTGTTGTTTTCTGTCTCACCGTGACTGTTTATTAGTATAATGTCAGGGTCAATTTCGCGATATATATTACTTAGGTTAATTCTCTCGGTCTTCCAGTTTCTTACGTTGTGTTGTATTATTCTTAACGTTCTTACTGTTTGTCTATTGTCCATTATTTCTTATACTTGGATTGTGGCAGTCAGTTGGAGTGGAGACCTATCATCCTGTTTCCCGCTTCTGACTCTTCTATACTCTGACGGGTCTACTATTTTAAAGTCTTTGGCCGTAATCTTTAGTTTGTCCGTAGTAATTAGTGACCAGACATAATCTTCACTTAGGGATTTTTCTTGATATGTCCACTTGTATATCCCTCCTTCACAGTTTTTACTATTGTCCCTCCTGTTGGTCTCGATGTTGGGATTCCATGTTTTGTTGTAGTGATAACTTTTAATCCAATTTCTTCAGCAGATTCAGGTTGTATATTGTGATCAGTTTCCATCTTATCTTCTCTCCTCCTACTCCTTTGTCTGTCCTTTTGTTATTTCTATCTTCTCTTTGTCACTTCTAGTCATTTGTCTAGGATCTCTATCAGTCGCTTGTGTTCCAGCTGTTGCTCCTTGCTCAAACCTTTGTTCGTCTTGATGTAGTCTTTCTCTCAGTTCGCTTGCATATGTTGTCTGAAATAGTTTTTCGGATTGTGGATTCTCTGGAAATATCATCTCTGGTAGGTTATTCAATTTAAACATTTTCCTTAATTCCTCATTGTATGATCCGGGTGCAATGATATTGCAAATGTGCATGGATCATACTAATCATTACCTTATCGTATTGGCTCACTTGGGTTTAATGCAGCGGATTCTGGTCTATGAGCCTCTTGGACGCTCTCTTTGCTATTTCGGCATTATGTCGTATCCTTCTTAATCTTGTTCCTTTTCCTTGTTTCTTGTACTTTATCATGTGTTTTATTGGGCATGCCATTGCTAACGTCCTATGTCCTATGTACATTCCACGTTTCTCTTACAGTTGAGACAGCCAACATGTGTATTCTTACACATTCAGTGTAGGTATGGTCGTCGCCTGCACAATCTGAGCAGTACTTTTTTTCTTTCCGGACAGTCTCTCGTTGTGTGATTGTTCTTCATATTTGTAGCAGGAGAAGCAAGTTTGCAGACTGATGAATGTCTCCTTCTTTATTTGATGTAGTGTGACTGACATGTTGAATATTAGAAAGCCCTGTTGTAAAACTTTCTCAGCCATTGACACTTCTTCAAACATGAGTATAGTCCTTTATCTTAATGACTTCTTCAATCTTCATCCACCTATTTTGGCGTTCCAGTTCTTCTTTCAGGTCTTCCTCCCGATCTCTTGATCGACTTGACGAACAAAAACTGATCTTTTTGCTTTTTGTTCTGGTGGCATGACAACAATAAGGCCTTCATTGTAAAATATATCTCTTGCTTCTTTTGAAAGGATTTTATCTGAATCAAAGTCATCTTTACAGATTACTTTAAAACCTTCATTGGTGCTGAATATTCTAGTTAGTGGGACTTACAGTTTGTTGTAAGTGATTTCTGCCACTTTTCCCCTTCCAATAGAGTGTCCCTTATCTCTATGTTTTATTCTAATGCTAGTTGTCATCTTCTTGATTACATCTAATCCTACCTATAACACAGGGCTCCTGCTTGCAGGAGCAGTGACCCCGCCCCCCCTCTTGGACGGGCGTCGGGCTCTGCACCCAGGTTACCTGTGACTGCCGTAATATCTAAAAAAGTTGCCACCTACCGGTGACCCCCGGACAGGGGTGCCCTGCACTATCACAGGTTCCCTTGCGGGATCGACCGTATCATGAAGTCCATACTCCGTTCAAAGAACAGGTGCATGAGGGGGATGAAAAAAGGAAAGAAGAGGACTTATAGAGTAGAAACAGCCTACCTACCACGCCACGTTCGGTCAGCCAATCAGAGCACCGCAGTAAACGTGCATG